AAAAAAAAATTGTTTTTATTTTTAGTTAAGAACTTATAACTTGAACTCTGAGGTAGAGAAAAATCACAGAAAAACCTAAAAAATTTTCATAGCGGAAAACCAAACAGACAAACAAATAGCAATATGTTCCATGTTGGTACTAAAAAGGTAGGCATTAAGGAGAAACGAAGTTCGCGTGGGCAGCTAGTAAATATAAAAAATTCTCGTGTCACAATGTTCGTTCCCATACTCCTCCGAAACGGCTCAACCGATTCTTATGAATTTTTTTATGCATATTCAGTAAGTCTGAGAATCGGACAATATCTATTTTTTTTTAATTTTTCACCCCCCTAAATGTTAAGGGTCCCACCCCTAAATTTCAATTTTAATTTTTAGACAAAACTTTTTGTTTTTATTTTTTTATGATATAGCATACAAAAATACATACAGCCCTTAATCGTCACCCCTCTACGATAAACCCCTAATTTTTATTATAGTAGATAGTTATTTTTATTGAACTAAAAATATGTTTCCTAGAAATAATATACATGGCAAAACGATGTTTGCCGGGTCAGCTAGTATTTATATAAAATTTAATGAATTATTGTAACTAGGTTAACCAGTTCATCTTTTAATACAATATCTAAGCAAAACTTCCCCGCATTCGAGCAGTGAGACCAACCCTTTGAAAACATTTAAAATTTACGACATGCCTTAACTTTGTCGCAATTTTTATAGCAAGGTATTTGACTAAAAGGTTCTCCCGGAGTCGCGTCATAAAGTGCCTGTTATAAAACTGTAGCTCAAAAAATACAAAATTTTATGAGATTAAAACGCGCTATTAAAAATAAGCTTTTGTATTTTAAATTATTGAATATTTTTGTAACCTATAATTTGTCATGTCACTTAGTTTACTTTAAAACTGGTTATATAATGGCAGAAATTAAAAAGATACAGGTAACATAGTAGAAGGTCACGTTAATTTCGTTATTCGTACGCACACAAACCCTTTTATAAACACAAACCGAATGTAAAACCTTCTATTTTATTTTATAAAATATATGTATCTCTAGTATACATTCGAATCCATTAAACAATATTATTAGATTTGAATTAATTTGATTGTGATATAATATCAGAATGAGCGTCCGTGTTGGTTCCACCACACGCCTACCAGTGACACGATACTTCTACGAATATTCTAGTCTGTCAAACTCTTTTCAGTGAAAACGTCAATTGATAGATTCAAACAAATACGCCAACCTGCACTTAGCCAATAATAATATAAAAATTATAAATCAGTGGCGCTACAACCTCTTTAGGTCTTGGCCTCAGATTTCTGAATCTGTTTCATAATCATTTTTTTTAAATCTAATAGGCAAGTAGGTGAACAGCCTCCAGTGCCTGACACACGCCGTCGACTTTTTGGGTCTAAGACATGTCGGTTTCCTCACGATGTTTTCCTTCACCGTTCAAGCAAATGTTAATTGCGCACATAGAAAGAAATTCCAATGGTGCACAGCCGGTGATCGAACCTACGACCTTAGGCATGAGAGTCGCACGCTGAAGCCACTAGGCCAAAACTGCTCTAATAATAATATAACAATATTTATTTGCCACTCAATATATATATTACGACAACAGGTGGGACGTTGAGAGTACGACATAAGAAGGATAACCGGAGTAGAATGGTATGGAACAACAAAGGACAGATCCAAATGGCGACATCTGGTGGAGACTCGAGACACAATCTGATTTTTGTAATAGTGTAATAACTAATAAAATAAATACTAGACTATGTACACAGTAAAGCGTTTCTTTTTATGTATGAATTAATATACAATGCGGACCCTATAGCCTTCATTAAAGCAAAAAAGGCTGTTAACATTGATACTCTATCGATAGCTATTATACATACATTACGTAAATAATACGGTAATAAAAGGCTTATATATTCCCGTATTCATTCAGTTTTTATTATACCATTTAGCTATTTCTTAGATAAGCTACAATCACAGTAAGATTAATCTAGTGCAAGAGAATTGCCTACAGAACTGCGCAGTAGTTAATCATATTTTTTTTGGATTTCGACTCGAAGTCACTTCACCCATTACTACGATTGGGCGAAGATGCGTTATGAACTGAGTAAAGTAAATTCGACTTCGTTATTCGAGATTTACTGGACAGACAAAGTCGTCAACAAAAGCTTCTATATTATAATAGTGAAAATCCAATTAGTCCTCGCAGCTGTTAGTCCATCCGCATGATTGATGCTGAACCACTCAACCAAATATACTAAAATCTAGTTTGTTTGGGATTCTAGCATAATCCCAGACTAAAATATTTTCACAGAAATGTTTCCATTCAATACTAAAATTATTGAAAGTAGACAATCCTAGATTAATAAGCTTTACGGACTTATGAATAAAATAAGATAAAATTGAATCAAAATAAAATTGCTATTCTAGTTTGTTGAAGATTAATATACATAATCTTTTACAAACAAATTTATTAAATTATCCCTTATCTTTTTAACCTTATACTTCTAAAAACCTAAATTGAGAATAATATAGTTTTGTGTGCGTATTTCACGCGTACGGTGAAGGAAAACATCGCGTGACGTGACAAACCCAACAAGCAGTCGCAGTCAGGCACGGAAGGCTGAAACCGACTTGCCTCTTTGAAAAACAAAACAAATGATCACGAAACAGATACCGAATCGCAGGCCCAGACCAAAGGTTGTAGATTCTTTTACACATGGCGGACGGCTCGGTTCCATCCTCATTGTAGTTTTAAGGGCATGACCCGTTTTGCTGTGGCTTCTTATTCGCACTGGCTTATAACGTGACGCTGTTTAAGAGAAGGTGCATAGTTTAGGCAGGCGTGACTTACCTTTATACCATCAGTAGTCTATCTATTACCTTAGCCTGTATTATTACTTACTAAGTTTCGGTTCAACAAACGAAAACTAAAAATCTTCAATCTTAGTAATATTATACACAATTGTACAGTAAAATTTGATGACTAAATTATTCAGAAAAATACAGTTCTTAAAAGTATTTTTGCAAAGCCAATGCTTCCATTGCGCCGTAATCCCAGCTTTAAATTCAAATATAATTTTCATACAAACGTTGCGGGTGGCATTTTCCATACATTACTTATCGATATATAGAACGTTACCTGAGGATTTTTGTTAAATCATCCATATTCTAAATTGAGCTTTATTCTGTTTAGATAAAGATGAATTTTCATTATATTTCTTACAAAAAATATAGAATCTATATACTCTAACATTGGAAATAACATTTAAATAACAAAGAAGAAACTTTGTTTAAATAAAGACAAAGCTGTCAATTAACAAAACACGGTGTCGTTTATTTAAATAAGGTGTTAGAGTGGTACTTATAATCCATTAATAATATTTATTTGTACCAGTATTTGCAGTTTCAAATAATTGATCTTCCAGTAATATCTTAAAGAGAAGAGATTTTACACTTATAACTTCGAACACCATTTTAAACAAATACTCTTTGGTGACTATTTTTCACCTAAATAATTGACGAAAAAACAAAATTAAAAAAAAATATATATTAAGAAACGCGAAACTTAAGCACCTATACAAAAGTATGTTAATACCTAACTCACTAATCTGTATGTTCATAATTATACTATTTAAATCGACAAGATAAAGTTGGAAATCGGTGTCGAAGTTGTGTATTAACAATAATAATTAAATGATAACATTCATTTGCGTCGCTAATCGTAACTATAGTAAGTATATATATTCTTAAACCAAGAATGACGTTTACCAAAACATTTACAACTTAAATACATAACGACGAAATCCAATAAATATTAAAAAAAAAACTACAAAATTACCAATAATATATGCAAAACTCGCTAACAGAGACGGTACCAAACTTTAAAAATTTAAACTCTCACAAGTAAAATGTAAATTGTCGATAAAATTTGCAAGAATTTCCCAAATTACTTTCAAAGCAATTGTAATAAAGGAAAACTTCTGTTTTGGACAATCTTTGATGTCTTTATACCGTTCTCCGAATTAGAATTGGCCTTGATTAATTAGATGTACTTTATATTCTAATTGAATTAAATTATATCAAAAGGAATATCTATTAGTTTATTCGGAATTATATTTCAATATAAGTAAGAATAAGTTAATAATTCACTTTACTTTTTTCGTCTTGTTTTTGACTTTTAACAGTACTATTACTATCTAACTAAAATATATAGGATCTTTAACAAATCACACTGTCAAAGTATATACCATTGGGATTTTCTTTCCACTTACTAAAACTGCAAACTAAGCACTTGGTCATATTGCTAAGGAAACCACAAGCTATAAGCAAAAAGTTAAATCTAAATTTAAGTTGTACCGGCGCGGCTGATCTGGCGGTGAGCTGCGCCCGTACTCTGTTCTCTCCCTTAGTGGGATCCCTGTCAGTATCGCTGTTGGATCCCGCTCAATAAAGAGTTTTGGTCAAGGTTGCGACCTAGGGGTTCGCTAGGAACAAAACATAAGCCCTATGCATATGATATGAACAAAAATGTAGGGTCGTAATCGCTGTCGCTATTGGAAGTTACAGAGTACGGGCGTATGGGTACATCGTGGAAAATTGCTAGCCAAGGACCAATTTTGAACAAATTTATTGTACAGCGAAGGATTTTTGTGTTCGTACATAACATGGATTTAAAAATCGAAGCTTATATTTATTATTTATTATAAACAAGATTTTTTTTAACAAATTGTCTCTGCACAAAAATATCATTTAACATTACGGTCTAGCCTAATTTAAAACGAACCTAATTTACTAAAAAGGATATTTAATATAAGAAAGTGTCGAATACTACTAAGAATCTGTACTATGAAAATATAATATTATGAATTTCTCCTACCACTAAACCTCTCAATCAATGATGCTTATATTAATATTTACTCTTCACTCATGCTATAAGACTTCTTACTGTCAGTAGTTTGCTTATTGCGGTGGAAAAAAGTCATGGAATACAAACCTAAAAAGCAATTTTTGAAGTTAAGATTTGACACATTACAGTATGTGTATAAAAGTATCAATTTTAAAGATGAAAGCGAAATGGAAAATGCCATTAAATTAGTTAGAGAGTGGTTGGAAGAGCAGCCACATTTCAGAAGAAAAGACTTTAGTGAGTATAATATAATACACGTTTGTTTAATAATTTAACTAATTGGATTGTTACTCAAAAACATTCCATTTAATTCAAAGACTTAACCACCAGCACCAACTCTTTTTGTTAGCTGCGCCACAAAGCTATTTTTTTTATTTACGACTGAACATTTGGAACATCCATGCGAAACTCGCAGGTTGTTGCGGGTTACTTAAACGGGTTTTTTAAGTGTATTTATTGGTATCTATCCTTTCGAAAAATATATGTTAAGCAATAAAAATAATTTGAACACATATAACTAACAATATTATTTTCGAGCTGTTTGGAATGTCAATTTAAATGACATAATTCTGACTAACAAACATTTGAAAACGCTAATTATTAATTTATTTATTAGTATTCTTACAGCTAACATAACACTTAGACAATCCAAAACAGATTACACAGATAAACAATATATATGAAACAGAACACATACATTAATAAACAAAAATAAAAGAAAACGGAAACTTAACATTAAACAAACAACAATTAATACTTAATATTTCACAGAAAATAAAAATTATTCAACGTTTCGAATGCATCAGTTGTGGTTAGCTATAGACATTTGGATGTGCCATTCATAATGTAAGGAGTAAATTATTAAATTTACGTTTAATGCGTTAAAAAGTAAATATGCATCACTCACGTTTATCTATTACGTACGAACGTAGATGAAAAACAAGGCTATAGAGACAAGTTTAGTTGAAGTGGTTTATGTTTGAATATCATAATTATTTAAATGTATGCTTAAATAAATAAACGCAAATAAGATATCGAAGAAATAGGGAACTATAGGTCGGGCTGTGGTTCCATCTTTATCAAATTTTTTTTGAAGTTACATATTATATATACACGTTAGAGTATATGAATAGAAAATACTACATACGCCAATGACGGTCTCCCACCTTTTTAGCTTACAATTTATTGCGAGCCAACATTATTATATCGAAGGGATCGATAGAAGTTACTAAGCAGAGACTTGACAAGATGTGTACTTTACGGACTCTTATGCCTGATCACTTTAAGTGTTTTGATGCGAAGAAGGATTTTGAAAATGTATTTAAAGCTATGTAAGTATGTATTCATATATTCTGGGTATTACAAATACTTAAGTATAATATTTATAAATGTATCTTGCAGAAGACCGATCGTCCTTCCTCAGCTTTCGAAGGACCACTACCGAGTTTTTACAGTAAAAGTCTACGATAGTTTGCAGGCGGCAGAGATAACGCAAGCCATGAAATATACTATGCTGGTAAGAACTTTACACCCTACATCATATTTTTATAAGATTAGTTAACAAGACAAGATTTCATTTATATATTAACTTGATGTTCTCATCAAGATTCCATTCGCGTGGAAATATTTGTTATAATATCCAGATATTTAGTCTAAAGCTAGAAAAAAAAATCTAACAAACTTTCCCTATTTATATTTTTCCTTTATTTTATAGTCAACTTGGTCACAACTAGAATACTACAACACTACATAGTGCATACAAACTACAATATAATCAATATTTTATATCGTTGACATTTCGAAAGAATTCATAGTCTGTGGAATTCTCGAGGCGTCATCTACGCAATATAATTTCCCGCCAATTTTACCAATTAGTATTCGCACCGGTAACCTAGGTTAGGTTAAAATTAGGCTAACTTATAGTAATATGTATAAATTGGACAAAATCTTTTATTGTCCACAATTTTATTATTTGTAGATTGGTGAATACATGAAGCAATGTGACTGTGTAGGAGAATACATTGGAATTTTCGACTTAACTGAAGTTAAAAGCATAGTGGAATTGATAAAAAAATTTAAACCTTATGGATTTACGAAAAACATTAACAGTTTTGTTTGTAAGTTTAGTATTATAATTAATCGTATTTTATCATTATATATTAATATTTAATGTTACTTTTGAAGACGCTACACACCGTTAACCTAAGGTTTTTTTTCTCTATCACTTCTCATATAGAACGGTCACTATAATATATAATTCTATGGAAAGTATAGAAATGATAAAAACTCTGCAATTTACTAAATTTCAAGGAAGGTCACGGGATGCGTCTCAAAGGAATATATTTTGTAACAACATCTAAAGTAATCGACACATTGATCGGTATATTGAAACAAGTACTGAAGCCAAAGATAATAAAACGAATAAAGGTATTTAAAACGTGGGAAGAAATCTATGATTTAATTGGAAGGGAAATAATTCCAGCTGATTTTGGTGGCTATGAAAAAACGGAAAAAGAGATACATGGTTTGTGTTATATTTAAAAAACTATAAAATCAAATAGGTACTTATGTTTGCAATGGTAGAAGTCATAATAACATGTATGTATGTAGTGTGGACAGTTTCCGCACTAAGACGCTCATTTCGTCCATTGTGGATTAATAATATACATATTATATCACTTATAATCAAAGCGAGTCTTTTTTTAATAGTTATTTATTAAGACGAATATTTTTAGACGATTGGATCGAGGCTTTAGGCGACGAGGGTTTCAAGAAATACTTTCAGGATATAAGCTCTGCGAGCACTGTTGAGAGCAGCAGGCCAAATCTCATGTTTAGTGAGGAGTACGCTGGTTTGCCCGGCACATTCCGGCTGCTGAGTGTTGATTAAGCAAAAATTTTAAATGGCAAAGTTTTAAGATAAATGTGACAAGTGTAATTGTATACTTATTTTAGTACGTGAATCGTATAATATCTAATATATAAAATTCTCGTGTCACTATGTGAATCGTGTCACCCATACTCCTCCGAAACGGCTCGACCCATTCTTATAAAATCTTTTATGCATAATATTCAGTATGTCTGAGAATCAGCTAGTATATATATCTTTCATACCTTAAATTATTTAATACTAAAATCTTTATAACATTTTACTGACATTGTTGTATGATGAGATTGACTTCGAAGCATTTAAAATCACCTGAACATATTTTTTTATTTAGAATTTAATTGTTTTTTGAAGTGAAACTTCTTTATCGAGGTTGGAAAAAAATTTAGTGTAAAATTTTTTCGTTACGCGTCACATTTTTCGGTTACGCGCCATGTTGCTTTTTGAAGTCAAACTTCTTTATCGGCGTTGGAATGAAACTTCTTTATCGACGTATGGGAGAAATTTTGTAGCAAATCGTCACGTTTTTCAATGATAGTAATAATTCTATTACAATTAATGAAATTCTATAATAATCTTCGTAGTAATAAGGTAAAATGAAATATTTGTATTCATGTCTATGATAATAAAAGCCTTTTGTTAAACTTTATCTAATTTAACGAATTTCTGTAAAGTTGCATATAGTAGATCATTTTTCGTTTATTTTATTCTTTATTGCCATACTACTTTCGTTAAGTTCCTAACTTTTAACGACCATAAAAATGTCATAGAAATTCGCTAAAGGATCCCTCAGGCAAGATTTGAAACTGAGAGCGTGTGATCTACTTTACTCTCAAAGCTTGCACTGAATGAACAGAAACAGTTACTTTAATACCCTCGCGTTTCGGATGTAATCGACATTCCACCGCCTCTAGGCAATAATTATCCTTTTTTAACATTGAATGACCTCCAGTCTTACAGCGGTACTCAGAAACGATCATTAAGAGCTATTACTTAACCATAGACCCAATCCTACGTTTATTGTTAGAATATATAAACTTTGTTGTTTAAAACTAACGTGTTCAGAGTACTCTACCGTATCTGTCTATAAACGTTAGGTATATTTTTAAATTTACCGAGATAGTTACATCGACAAAAAATACTCAGACAAAATAACAAAAAAGGTACAAAGTCCTCATATTTTAAATAAAGAATTTTCTATGTCAGTTTTGTATAATTTCTCCTATTTCTCCTATGTTATGGTCATATCTATTCTCATTTTTCCGTAAGATAATGCGACCGTTGTCATAAAAAATACATAATAAAAACAACTCACGAGTTTATAATAACCAGTTAACTTTCGACTGCATCGAGTACGAATGTACTTTGTCTTATAAGATATTTACTTGTGAAATAATGGATTTTAAACCGAAGAAATCAATATTACACTTATCAAATGAATGCAGTGAACTTGGGATACAAAATATTAATTTAGGAAAAGGTGATATGGAAAAAATTCTAGAAATCATAAGAGAATGGATTGAAAAACAGCCACACTTCAGAAGCAAAAATTTCAGTGAGTTTTATGATTTTTAATTTTGTTTTATAATAAATTAAAAAATAGTATTTGCAAGTCAATGTGAGTGTTTGTGTTGTATAAATTTTGGAAAACTACTCGTACAAAATATTTGTTTAAGTTTTGATTATTGATTTGTCGCGGGATTGTACAATTTTTGTCTACTTTTTTTTTTATAGAACGGGAGGCAAACGGGCAGGAGGCTCACCTGATGTTAAGTGATACCGCCGCCCATGGACACTCTCAATGCCAGAGGGCTCGCGAGTGCGTTGCCGGCCTTTTACTACTTTGATATATGTACATTAGATTATGTTAAAATGCAAGTCTAAAATTAAATTTCTCACATTGTTATCTTCGCTTGTCAATACAGAATAACTACATTTACATTATTTAAAACAATAAATAAGAACTTATAATGATATGTATCTTATACGGGGAAGAACTAACTAAAAAAATAGAATAGATTGTTTATGTTTATTTCAATTAATACAATAAATAAAAATTATTTCATACCGAAATATTTCTTACCAAATGGCCACCGTTAATCGAAGCGAATTATAGTACTTAAATAAAGGTTACATAATTTAAAGTATTAATCTTGTTTTGGCTAAAAGTAGTCTAACTATGTCTCTTCTTGTTAGGTTCATATAGTTGTAGGTATGTTTTTTTCATAACAATAAAGTTATGATTTGTTCAGAAACTTGCTTTTAAGCTTAACCACATTTTATTCCAGGCACAAACTATCTTAAAATGAGCATTCTTGGGGCGAAAGGATCAATAGAGCGAGTCAAAACTTTATTAGACAAATCTTGCACTTTGAGAACTTTGCTACCACATTATTTTCAATTTTCGGATAGGAAAAGTGATTTAAAAGAACTGTTTGAGATCGTGTAAGTTTTTACAGAGTACCTACTGAATATTTTACTTTGCCCACTTGGCACGTGCAAAGTTGTTGAAACAGTTAATATATTTTTGTTAAAACCCTTAATTGATTGACGCTAGGATTGAAAGAAAATGTTAAATGAAATGTCTGTCTCATTGGTCTAGTGGTTGGCATGAACGAGGAGACATTGAGCTTCGAGTTCCAAGGTAAAATAAAACCAATGTCTCGCAATGAAGCTGTCGGATTCTGGATTAATTTCCAGTAGAGTTTTAAAATAAAGAGTGCACTCTCAGCGAACACACTTATGTACCTATATCTCTTGAGTAAATTTGTTTATTTATTATTAAAATTTAAAAGTTATGTGCCTAGTCTCAACAGAGATAAGTTAAATTGGCCAAACCAGTCTGGTAAACTGTTTTAATAACGATTAAATTTTTTCTTATTAAGGTTTTTAATTAACCAGAATTAATTAAATCAAAATCCAATTACATATTTACATCTTTCTTCTATATTGTTTATTACATCTTTCAGGACCCCTGTTATTTTACCCAACTATTCAAAAGACAATGCAAGAATATTCATAATGAAATTCTGGAGTGATATTAAGAAATCATCACAAATAACTGAACTGCACAAAAATTCAATCAGAGTGAGTTAATAAACATTTGCAATAATTGTCTTAAAAATTACTCTTCTTTTCATAGTTCCCCATCTCGTGTGGAGAGGGACACGAGCTATTACCTACTGCTCGTTATATTTATTATTCAGAGAAAACGGTATTTTTGAAATATACAATTTATCGACGATGATGATGAAATGTCATCATTATCATCATGAATAGCTGTACAGTCCCTTATCGGCATTAGTCTTCGCATTATTTCGCCATATCAATGTCTCGTGCTTCTTGCGCCCAACTTCGAACACCAATTTTTTGAGGTCCTTTACTACTTCATCCCAACGCAGCATCGAACTACCGGGTTATCTCTTGCCACCAGGTTGTGAGTTCAGTAAGGTTGGTTTCTGTCGTCCGCCATTCGGTGCACATGTCCCAACCATTTGAGCCAGACAATGTTGGCGTCTTCAAGGATGTTATAAGTTCTTCATTGAAGCGAAAACGCCAAACACCGTCGTCGCAAACAGGGCCAAAAATTATTTAAATTAATCATATTACGTATAGATTATGTCGAAGACCATCAAGTTGACACTTTGCCCTGATCGGGGAAGTTTTAAAATAACAGAAGTTTTTATTTATTTAAATAAAATATTTTTACTTTTCAGATGATTGAATATATTATGCAAGTAGACAATATATCTGCTATGCATATGTGTGTAGATCTTTTGAATATTAATGTATTCGATCTAGTATCCAAACAAAATCCATTTGAACTGAAGGATGTTGCTACAATAACTATGGTGAGTAATTAAATTTTTGTTAAACAGAAACATAAAAACCTTAATAAAAGAGTCGTTAATTAAGAGATAGATTGTAATAATCAGCGATTAGATTCCAAAGCAGACTCCCACAAATCTTTAGATATATAGGTATAATAATTTACCAATCACAAGAGATAATAACAGAACTACAAAATTTAGTAATTAGTACAAGAAAGCCTAATTACTAAATTTCAAAAACCCCAAAAGAGGTGTATTGCAGTTTGATAGTATTTTTATTTATTTATTAAATTCTATATTGTGATAAAATCTTAATCAAATGTCGTCTCCACTTATATTTTAATTCTTTGTGTTGTTAAACTTTAAGTGTGATTCTCGGGATGGGCTGAAAATATATAAAATGCGCCATTATATAGCATACAAGAAATATTTCAAGGGTAATCTGGAAGTTGTTTGAACACACCCATCCGCGGATGAGCATGTCAAGCTCGTGTCCATCAGCCGTTCCCTCGTAGTACTGCGGTATTGCACAGGCACCCACATGTGAACTATAATAATTTCAAACAGCAAGTCTCAATAGACATAAGCCGCCGTGGCCGTGTTTATGAATGGAAAGCAAATATGTTATTATTTCTTACAAATGTTCAGACGCGGCGTGTATAATGAACTGTGTAGGCACGCAATTAGGTCGACCTAAGATTATTTTTAAGCTGCCAATTACGTTCCAGGGAGCATATGGAACGAGAGTAAAAGGTGTACATTGTATAACAACATCAAAGTATGTGGACGCTTTTGTTGCTCTTTTAAAGCAAGTGCTCTCGCCGAAGTTAATAAGCCGGATACACGTGTATAGAACTTGGAGTGAACTTTACGATGTCCTTGGTAAAGATGTCATTCCAATTGAGTTTGGTGGAAATGAGAAATCTATTAGAGAAATTCACGGTTAGTTCAATTTATTTATAGATTATGTCGCGTAACTTCTGATTGAAGGAACAGATGAAAGATGATTCTGAATAGAAATATCTTTTTGAGTTATACTTCTTTAGGCGCGTTATGAAAAATAGATGAGAGTGAAATTTTACGATGTGCGCGCACCGTGACACAAAATTAACAGAATGAAGTTGCCCACGAAAGATGCTACGGCATTGGACATAATTTAAAAACAACATTCGAATAATAATAGAATTTATGTTACACTTAATGTAAGAGAATAATAATAAATATTTATTTATTTAATTTTTCAAATGTAAACTGAACTTTATTGACTATAATGACTCCTTTTCCAGTCTTTGATTATTTAATTGTAATTAATTATTTGCATGCAATCAAAAACTATTTTTAATAATGCCAAAGTATAACTTCTTAGGCGCGTACATAAGTACTCGCACCCTTTTTTTTAAATAGTCTTTATAATTTTTATATCAAGCAAGTATACAAAATATCTCAATATTACTAAGATAAACGAAAAAAAAATTAAAAAATATTGTTCAAGGTTTTGTGTTGATTTTCATAGTTTTGTACTTCGCTGTCAACCAATTATGTAATCCATAACTATACATACTACGTTCCAGATGACTGGCAAAATGAACTGTATTCTGAGGAATTCAAGAAGCATCTAGAAGAAAGAAGTAAAATGTGCACTGATGAATCTCTACGGCCAAAGGATAGGTTTAATGATGAATACGCCGGAATGCCGGGTTCATTTAGAGCTTTAAGTGTTGATTAAATGTAATAATTATATAACGAATTATTATAATAAAAGTTGAATTAGTTGAATTATCTTTAAAATTCCAATTGATTACAGAACCTTTAAAAGTGTGTAATGTATTTACAAACAAGACAAAAGTCCCTCCAATTCCGGTCGTTTTTTTTACCTGACAATTAGCATGTGAAGTAAATATATAATATGCCTTATTTTAATTTCACTTTATCTGCATATTGTTCGAAATCCTTCACACCATCATAAGGCTTTCGACCGAGTAGTGGATATACTTTAATCAAAGTGTTCTGTGTCTACCGAAACCGAAAAAATATTATTTCGTTGGAAATATCCCAGTCTTACTTACTACTACTAATCAAACATGTATTTATAAAGCGCATATGTCTAACGCATGCAAATAACTAGACGACTACGACGTTTATTCACATAGTAATACTTACCGTCATTCGGTGCAGTAACTAACTATATATACACTTAGTGCACTTTTTTCGAGATGACATAAAAAAACGAGTGGAGCATGACGTACAGACTCGAGCGGTAACGCAAGTTCGGCTCTGTACATCGAGAGCACACAACGTATACGGCGAGAGAACGTTGAGGTATTTGCTACCGCGGATAATAAATGGTCTACCCAATCAGTTATTAGATTGCCTAACGCCAACCAACATAAACATTAAATTAAAAAAAAATTGTGCGTGTACTACGGTGTACACACGTAAGAAGTGAAACTAAGAAATAAGATCTTATTTTTCGAAAAATGATCTACTATATGCAACTTTACAGAAATTCGTTAAATTAGATAAAGTTTAACAAAAGGCTTTTATTATCATAGACATGAATACAAATATTTCATTTTACCTTATTACTACGAAGATTATTATAGAATTTCATTAATTGTAATAGAATTATTACTATCATTGAAAAACGTGACGATTTGCTACAAAATTTCTAGCATACGTCGATAAAGAAGTTTCATTCCAACGCCGATAAAGAAGTTTGACATCAAAAAGCAACATGGCGCGTAACCGAAAAATGTGACGCGTAACGAAAAAATGTTACACATAATTTTTTTCCAACCCCGATAAAGAAGTTTTACTTCAAAAACTACTTTTATATGCAATTATCGCGCTCCTAAACAAGACTGGGTTACATTAATACAAACCACAGCGGTTTTCTAATGTAACATTTTATGATTGTATTATATTATTTTGTAAAATAATAAAAAATATATATGTCGAAAAGTTATTAAACTAGGACACTAACAGACCTATAGAAAGTGAAATGGATTGTCAACTTTAAAGATTTGATCAAAACATTATATATCGTTATTCGTCCAAATGTGGTGTAAATTGCCTAAAAACGAGTATTCGTAAGCATACATATTACTTACCTATAATATAACCATTATCAGACATGTTTGTGTTAAGACTTCAAAACAAGTCAAAATCAGTAGTATTCCTCTTGAACTATTCACGCTATTGTGGGTTCAATACAAACCTGTCTAATTAGCGTGTCTACAAAGCAAATCATATTTGCTTTTGACGTGAATCTAAAATGGTAGTGGTGCAAAGCATTAAAGCTTTGATTGCCTTAACTGTATAATTTCTGAAGTGAAATATTTAACGTAGCTAGTGAACAGATTAATAATATATAGAGGTCGAGGACGAGGGGCTTAATATGAATTATTTATAACAAATAGCGCATTATATGTAAACGATGTATACTGTACTTATGAAGGGATCACTTTGTTGGTAAGAATTAAATCTCGGAAAATACTGTAAGTACTCATTCCACCAACCAAAATCCTTAGCGCTTTTTCGGCCTGTAGAGATTCTGTTCCTCAAGCGCCTGCAACAATGTACTCGACTATTCGAATAACTTATACCAAAAATTCGAGTTATTGGTGAATCAATAGTGTATGAGTACACTGTACAAATGGTAATTTTGAACTCACAAAATTGGTCGTATACATCGTTTATTACATATAGTTGCGACTACTTAATCTTTATATATTAGGGTCCTTACATATGAAATTGGCGTTTTGTATGGGAGGAACAAAAAGTCGAATATTTTTAAACATAATATATTTAATTAATCAAAGTATGAACCATTGTTTTTTATGCACTTTTGCCATCTCATAGGTAGTTCATGGATCCCTTTACTAAAAAAAACAGTCGGACGGGAATCAATAAAATCTGTGAAGACGATTTGGACTGCCCCATCAGAGTTAAATTTTTTCCCTTGCAAGAAGTTGTCCAAATTTCGAAAAAAATGGTAATCTGTTGGAGCAAGGTCCGGGGAGTACGGAGGATGTCTTAGACATTCCAATTGAAGCTCTTCTAATTTGGTAGCCGTCTGTTGTGCAGTGTGGTCTAGCGATGTCGTGAAGTAGCAGTGGCGTGGAGCGATTGACCAGCCTAGGTTGTTTAGCCGCTAGCTTTTCCATCATGGTTTGCAATTGCTGACAATAGACATCAGCCGTAATAGTCTGGCCAGATTTGAGAAAACTGCAATGAACAATACCGGCACTAGTCCACCAAACGCTTACAAGTAACTTTTTTGGGGTTAATTTTCGCTTGGGGCAGGATTTGGCTGGCTGGCCAGAATCCAACCATTGTGCTGAGCGCTTCCGATTATCGTAAAGAATCCATTTTTCATCACAGGTAATGATTCGGTTTAAAATACATTGCAACATGACCGCCATACACATCATTCACTAGTGCCACGGCGGTACTCGTACTCGTAAATAATGCGATACTTTAAGTTTTCCATTTTGTAAAATGAGTGACGCAAACAGAAAAAAAACAAGAAAAAAACAAATAAATGACGGTCATCTCAGCACAAATACATGAGTAAATAGCTGTACAAATTTGAATTTGGAATTCCTTACCAAAGAGGAAAACATGGTGATTAAAGTGGCCAGTACGAAATACGCCAATTTCATATGTAAGGACCTAATATCTACTAGCAGACCGGCCAAGCATTGCTGTGGCTAAGGTTTTAGTTATATTACATAATAGTAACCTATTTAAGGGAAACGGTAGGAGAACATCAGTCATGAGAACCACCATGCTTTTTTGGTGGTAATGCCATTAAATTGTAGCTTATGTGAAACGTTGGTACTTTCAACACAGCGCCATCTGTTAGAATTGTGACTATCAAATAATAAACACATATTTTGCAATAAAACAATATTGCGGGTATAAATTGAGATGTAAGCTATCCTATCTTTTAAGATAGATCAAACTGCACACGGTGTGCAAATTTGATTGAAAACGGTTCGGTAGTTTAGGAGTCCATAGCGGACCAACAACGTGACACGTAATTTATATATATTAAAATTATATATTTTGATATTGTTGGATCTGTTAAAAGTTAATCTTGACATAGTAAATTCTTAACAACGAAACTAAACAATGCACAAAAAGGCCGCAGCTACAGCCATTTCTAATTAATATTAAAATCCAATTCAGTTTCCGGTGGACGGTGAAAAGTTTAATCTAGTTTGTAAAAGATACGTTTAGTTCCTGTTTACAATGGATTCCGTTGGAAATTTATGTCTTTAGAGAAGTTTCTTACGGGAAATAACATTGGAACATTTTTGCATTCATTTTGTTTATACATGATTATGGATGACCGAAGTTTAGTTCCGTTTATAGGCAGGCTGGTATTTAGTCATCAAAAGTAAATTGTATCCTGCGGGCATCTTGTGTCATGCAATTAAGCATATTGCCATAATTGCAGTGCATCTTAGTCACAATTTATTGGCTGTTTAGTTAAAGAAACGAAGGACAGTGAAAAACGTTGTCAGCTTATAATTAGATTTTTAAACTTATTTAAATCATCGTAAATGTTTTAAGTAATCGTTAAACGATTTTGAATACTAGCAAGAAGTATTAAACAATATGTAATAGTCTAGAAAAACAATACCCATGTAGCAATAACAATACTATTCGTAAAGTGTTATATTGTTAGCAGGCGCCTAAGTGCAAGTTCGTGTGACAAAATCTCTAAAAGCCGAGGCAGCGTTACGAATTTTGATTATACCCAAAGAAACACAATTTGGCAATTGTGCCCTTTATCACTTTTCGTCATAGACAAGTAGATTATTTGTCTCCATTGCCTTATAGATATTTTAGAAGTATGTATGAACCCCATATGTCAAAAACATGTTGAATTTATGAATCCAATCCTAAGTACTTGTTCACGTTGACTCGCGGGCGCGGTCTCGAAATATCAAACATATGGCGTAATATCCAAGTGTTCACATACGAAACGCACGTGCGGTCTAAGTACTTCTCCGCGCCCGCACCCACCGCCGCGCCCGCGCTTTCCAACGTGAACAAGCACTAAGATTTGTTGATTACCGCAGGATATATTCTTTTAGCGTGTTAAAGCGCGATTGGATGATCTCTGAGTTGAGATTTAACGCTTAACTAATACTGGTAATGTAAGATTTTGGTAATAAAAAATCTAATTAGTGAGTAAATGCAATAAAAAGTCATGAAAGATAGATAGAAAATATATATTATGAAAACATTTGACAAAACGTAAAAAAATGTTATTCCTTTATTGATGTATAGATGTTTGTATCGAGGACGAATTGAGCTAAGCGTTACAGATTGACATTGATTTATTATTGGTATTTAATCAATATAATGGAATATTTAGAAGTGAAATAAATGGAACTTCCGTATAAAATATTAAGCTTCAAATACAAGCAGAAACTTTTTAATCACCCTAAGTTGTATGAAAGAATCCATCATGCTATATAGCTGTAACATCTTTTAGAATTTGAACATTTGGCTTTACTTCTTTGACAATTTTGTTGTTTCAAACTAGATAGTCATATGTTATCTGTCTTTTGCATGTCCCATAATTTCACGATTAGGCCGGCAAACTACACACATACTTACAAATATATTGCATGGATATCAACCAGATGAGAAACGCAAATCCCACCATTATGAAACTTCTAACATCCATTTCGACATTTTGAATCGTTTTTTGGCTCAATGGCATGTCTACGCCTTCTCCTCAATAATACTGCATATTACCGTGAATAACAAGCCCAGAACCACAAGCGTTCCCACCATCAAGATAATTTGCGTCAACGAAACGTTAAGGGTATGGCACGTCATCTTTCTAAGAGCAGCTGTAGTACTTGCACATCCAGTTCATAACAATAAGCAAGGTCACAAATGCTAAGGCAATCACTATTATTTGCACTAAATCAATCTCATAGCACACTGAACTTTTCCCCATCTCTATCGGCCATTCACAATATGGCAGACGACCAGAAACAGCAGTACCAGGATTACAATAGATCCGATAATCATCAAAAGTTGGTTTAAATTAAAACTTAGCCCACATCCGGCAGGCTGAGATTTTGACATGTTTTAAGACGGCATAGTGTGTGTATGTACTATCATTTTTAATTCTTACATAATTTGGCTATTATCCACTTTTTAATTTAACATTTTAATATCTTTTTTGCTCTGAAAATTTTGATGTTTTGACCGTTGTCATAACTGTTATGGCAAATTAGAAAAAAAGTTAGAACTGAGAAAAGAGGTCAAAACGTTAATTCATTCTGCATAGCAATATAATATAGTTTGTATATATATATAGTTAAAAAGTTTTATTTAAACATCATTGAAAAGATTATAACATTTATTATTCTAAAATATTTTTTAATAAGTAACAAAAATATCAAAATTTCTATTTTATTTTTTTCTCCATGAGATCACAGACTATGAATTAAGCAACACCTTAACAATTTTCCCCGTAGGTAATAAAAATGAGAGTAATTATTCAATGAAGTAGTTTTAAATGGTTACATCCCATAAACATGTATTTATTTATATATATAAAAAATTTAATTCATGTTTAAAACACTTCACTTAATATTGTATAACGTATAGTAAATAATAAAATGCTTCAAAACTATATCAGGAAATGATGTACCAAAAACATATATTTGTCTAACTCCTGACGTGGTTTTCAATAAAGAAGATATATACCTATTATGTTCCTCATAAATATTCAATATAAACCTTATTAAATACGTTTGGTACATAGCAAAAACGCCTGTCAAGTATATTTTTCGATGACGTCAAATAATTAATTCCGAACGCATGTAGTGTATCATGCAATGTTTTTCTCTCTCCTGAAATAAAATAAATATATTATACATAAATAAAAACACTTAATTGATTTTAATAAATAGAATTTTATAAACTTAGTAAAAGTTGCCTTTAGATCTGGAAAACTAACATTTCTTGTAAGCTACGGGTGTTAGGTAAGCTTTTATTAGATGCATAAAGTTAGTCGCTGTCCGAATAATACATTAGACAACTAAGTGCCTAAATACTTGAATTGAATATTAATAAAAAAAAACTGAGATTACATTTTTACAGTTAATATTTTGTTGAAACGAAGACGTCTGAAATTATATTAGCATTTTCATACAGTAAACCCTATTCAATTTTACAAAGATTTGTCAAAAACGCGTCTCTGCGAGGCATATTATAATTACATCAAGAAACAGGGAAGGGCGCCTTATGTAGGACAGATTAAACTGTATTTATAATAAAGGGTAATATAGAGTGTCCCAATTGTGCGACAAATATCATTTGTTTAAATTTTTGATGAAGTATTCGGATATCCCTTTATGTAATTACTCAGATCTCAACAGGGGTGTTCCGATAACTATTTCCGTGGTATTTACGAAGAATACTCTTCTAGAAGGCTATAGAGGTGTATCGGTGATACATGGCGTGCGTAGATTTATAATACACATTAAATCCTCGGAGCGAATTTTGAATATATTTCTAGACGCCAATGGGTAAATGCACACAGTACTTTTATATACATAATTATACGAATTATTAACGAAATTCCTCTAAGCATCTACAAAATGTTTAGAGGTCACAGAGCGAAGTCCGATAAATTTCGCTGTGGCGTCAAGCTATTAATTGCTTTGTCAAGGCCTCATTATACAAATACCAGTTTTTCTGATACGCCTTCAAACCAGCATTGTTTATGTTAGTAAGCTACCTATGTATCAAATTCTCGGGTTGATACCCCGTGAAACAAAACAGACGCAGGAATGTCATATTGAAGTGTTAAAGGACTTCAAACGCCAATAGTGCTGAAGTAATGACACAGGCGTTTAAGCATTTACTATTTAAGTTTTACATTTACTATTTTGAAATTAGATAAAGGACCTTATGATCTTCGAAAAAATGATAGATACAAGTATTTTGTCGTAAAATTGCATTACCTTCTTTTACTTCACTACTTCTTTATTAAACAATACCTACTTGTGTTTACTTGAGTTGAGTCGTAAGTTTCGTTTATACGTGGGTAACACTGAATTTTTTTTAGAATTGGCCAGTAAGAAACTGTTGCTTATGAAAACTTTTTTGAATTTCAATTTTAGAACTCTTTGGTAACCTAATTTAGTATATTGCATTAATTTGTCATTTGTTTTCGTGAATTGGCGGCAATTATAAAACACTTGTTACACGTGAAAATGTTCGGTCAAAGATTTATTATGACTTTCGTTGAGGGCTTACTCACGACAACGTAAAAGAAACAAAAATCGGTAGTGTTTTTCGTGTAACTGGTCAGTAGCGTCTCTAGTTCCAACACTGACTAGCGACCATCCGTTTTTAATTCCAATCACAATCAAATGAAACCATTGTTTCGTGCATTATCCAACTAATTCCCTGGACAGTGATAATAAGTATATATTACATACATAATATAAATTATCAACAACAAGTAAACGTGTAACTATAACATCCACATTTCTGTTTAATCATAATTCCTAATATTCTATACGTATGTATAATTAACGTCGTTTGCGAATTTAGTTGAATGCTGGAGCAATTCGTTATTGTACAATCAAAGTACGATAGAATATTGGTTAATTGATCAATATTGTTGTAACATTGATTGATAACGAATACAATAATTATAGCAAAGCCATCACCGGTTTATTTCTAAAATATGAAAACGCTTATAATAACATTTTCTTTCAGCTGAATATTTGAAAATTTTAAGGACATAAACTATCCTTTAATTGTATCATAAGCAAAGTCACTGGTTAGATAGCTAGTATGTAAAACCTTCACCGGGAAAATAATACAAAGTTTTCATTTCCACCAATTTATTTAAATAGATAAACAATCCCAACCTACTAGAAGCAAATGGCATTTTGGATTTATTGAGACTTAAGTATTTGAAGCGATGTTGCCACGTGCCAAAGAAAAACGTTTAATATCTTCATAAGAACGCAAAAACCTTGCTTCAATACCGCTATAAAAACAATTTAATTTCTTATTTTTCTAAAATTTTAAATTTGAAATATGTAGATTTTTCATTTTGAAAATCAACACATTTGTATAGCAAAGCATACAGTTCAAATAATCTACAGTTTTTAGTTAGTCTCAATCAATCCACTTATTCTAAATGCAATACACAGCCTATTAAAAATGTAACGGCAGTGATAAAACTAAAATGGGACCTTCCCAAATCACCTAAAATCTTTGGTTATAACATAAATATTACTATTTTTATACAAGACTTAACTTAGACCACCATCCCGTATCTAGCATAGATAGTGTTTACCAAATATTTACATAACATAGAACGGTAATTTTGACCGTACTCTTAAAATACATTTTTTTTTAGTGGAATTAGTCGAATAGTATTGAAGTTTGGTAGGGTATATTCATTATTTTGAAAATAGCAGCGACCATTCCGAACCATGTTTAAACAAATTCTAAATTACCACTAGGAAACACAGCTCACAGAGAAGCGATGATTGTAAGTCTTTGGAAAACGGACGGTTTATAAGGTATGCCATTCGATTGAGTCTCCAAAATGTATGAATATTCCCAACAGTCAATCCAGACGATTCGAAAAGATTAGCGTAACATTTTTAGGTGTCAATAATAAAAAAATAAGAATAAAAACGGTCTTATTTCTCATCTATTTAAAGATGAGGCTACGTTTTCGAACCGTTAAGAAGTCAAGTACCCTTAGCACAAATATTTCGGTAGCTACGTCAAGTATACGATGCTTTCACGATACGATAACACTAATTTGGACTCTATTTATTTGGTACACAATACGAAAACTATTCGAGAACGAATGATGTAAGTACTCCATTTTTTAGTTTGAAATATACAGATGGAGCGCTGTTCAAGGTCTTCATACAAAAAATACTATTCGTGCTAAAGGTACAGCTGATAACTAATGTTTATTATACAATTACTTGTTTTTGTACTTTTTCAACGCCTTCCGACGAGTGTTCTCCATGGACCTGGTAATCAGCCAGACAGCAAACCTCCCTGACACTCCGTAAATTGAGTTGATGGTGTTAACGAAGATAGCATGAGGGAAGTAACCAACTGTTTTTGACGTGGTGCCAACGAGACTGATGGCGGACTTTACAAAAGTCTTCGCAGTGGGTGCTAATAGCGAAGCGCGACGGATACCCGACATATTGGAGCATACAAAACCCGGAAGGACGCATTGAACGATAATACCCTTTTTATTGTATTCCATGTCAATTCCTTCAGAAAATTTGTCTACATACGCCTGGAAACAATAAAATTACGTGAACAAATTATACTAATAATATTACAATTCACCAAAAAATGCCACTTTATGATACTACTAATACCAGTTTTTTTGTAACCAAAATCTTACGGAACATGACTTGTTTAGCAGTTTTTAGCGATATTGAGTGTTCAATTCATATGTAATTAAAACATTAAAATTCAAGGTCTGCTTTTTTAATCTGAAGACAAAAAGTTTACTTAAATGTAATTACAGAATAACATTTTTCAACAGTAGTTTATTAAAAATTAAAGCTACTTAATATCAGAAATAAGCAACGTATACTGCTCTCCTACCTCTACTTTCTAAATAACTTCAATTAGTTAAGATTAGTCTATGACTATGTAAGGGAGCGGTGTAAGGAAATTATCAATGCACTATTATTTAATGGAAATAGCCTTATTCCTACCTTACAAGCCGCGTAGACTGTCAACAAGGGGCTGGGTATGAGAGAAGAGCCAGATCCGATGTTGATGACCACACCCTTGCCTCGTTTCACCATATCAGGTAGGATGATACCAGTCATCCGTGTCACTGATACCATGTTCGCTCTTATCATTGTTGTTACGGTGTTCTCCCTATTAATAAAATAATTAAATACTTTTTATTTTTATCTAAAGCTGGCTGTTGCACAACTTAGTTCACGTGGAAGGACTTCAGCAGTATCAGACTGAGCACGAGTTATTACTCCTGTGTGTCAAATTCTAATACATTTTTGACAGATGGGAGGATAACGTATTGGATAGTTACTCATAGTATTCTGTACCGTTTTATGATTTGAAGTGTATTGTTAATTAGGGACCGTTCAAGTATCTATTACGTAACGAATTTTGGGGGTCCCTTTTGTAAAACGTTATGATGCGGGGCGCGGAGTGTATTAAGTGATATTGTTAATATTATTTTCGAATTTCCAGTAGGTACTTCACACCACATAATGGTAACTTTTAGGTATAAAGAGTCACTAGGTGGTTACGAAATGTTTTACTATACTTGGGTACAGAAAAACAATTAACTGCTTGTGGACGAAAAACGAGGAGCATCATGTAATGGTTGCAGGTTGCAGTTTGTAAAAAAACCTTGGCGATAAGAGTGACGGAGAGTTTATTGTCAGGTCTCTTTCTACGCCCTTGATTTGAGAGCTGGCAATAAATGCATGAAGCATTTTTTGTTCTGACGTTCATAAGTGAACTGATTATAACTGATTTTGATTGTATTTTAGCGGAAATAAATTAAATTGTCACATTTCAGTTCTAATCCGAGGAAAAGAAAAACTATTAGAATTATTAAAGATTTTTCAATAAATTTAATTGTATGATTACATGCCTACGTGTGATGTTAATCAGGTAACAAATGGCCGATCGATTTAGCAATCCTCACACCACCATCACGTATCAAACAATTACGGAATAATAATTAATTAGATCATACATATTAATGGTTTTACAAAATCCATTTGTAGATTAAATGGAATGAAAATCATTTTGTTTGGTCTATTATCACCGTAAATACAATATTGTTTCTGACATTTCAATTCAAAAGAGGGTTTCATATTTCATTATATTTTTTCATAAATGTTCGTTAGACTATTCAGATTAAGTTCACAATAGATCTAATCAGAAGCTAATATATTTACCGCGTTACTATGCTCGCTCGAATCAATCCATAATAATTATATATTAAATTTAATAGCTGATTTGCATTTTAGTATAATATATGATATATTATAGATAGTATGATTCCTGAAGATGTAAACCTTTCTAGACCTTCACTTAAGTCTATAATTCATTATGGTTTTATGTAAACTGAGTAGAATAAAATATGTTTGTAGTTATTATAGAAAACGACGCAACTATCGAAATAAACGAAATGCACGCTGGTGACGCTGCGAGCGGCAGCTAATATTTAATTTTGTAAAGTATCATTTACACTTGCACGATTAAACCGTTGGAGCTGAACTAATTAGAGCCCGTATTAATTAGACCTTAGGAAGATTCATATCAGATAACAACTCGGCTCGAAGCGTAAGGTATTAGGTAACGTCTATGCGCTTAATAAAAAATACTTGGACGTGTGCCCCGACGCGACGGCTTTATACTTATTTGTGGAATCTATATTGACATAAAGTTTATTTGTTTCGTTCATCTCAATAAATAAGAATGTACAATGTACATAGTGGTGATCAGCTTTCTGTGTGTTACACATGTCATCGATATTTGAGCCATGCCAGTTTCCTCACGATGTTAGACTTCACCGTAGGCTTGAGCTAATTACGCAACACAAAGAAAATTCAATTCTTACACAGCCATGATTCGAACACACGAACTCAGGTATGAGGGTCACTAAAGCAAGTAGGCCAACAGTAGTGCGTTGCCGACATTTCATTTAATATTCTTATTTTCTATTTAGTCAGCGATATAACATCACACTCCATAGTGATTAGTGACTTACAGCAAAGTATAAACTAAAAAAAACGCAGTAATAAATACTAAATCACTGATCTATTTTCCTTACAGTGCCAATATAGTTTCATATTTCATTATATTTTTTCATAAATGTTCGTTAGACTATACAATATATTGTCTTTGAGTACCTATAAAACTCGTTAATTTCATACAAATGTGAGGTTTAAAACAATACTGAAATTCAAGATACTACTAGGAACTGACCGTTTTTAACCATTCTAGCTGCGCGCTCAATGATAACTAGATACAATAGATTCAGAGCACTGGCATACTTGCATATGCTAATAAAATCGATGTCTTTACTGCGAGAGCGACAAAAGAATGCAGTTCCAGAAATAATCCTAGCTGAAGCGACGATTGCTCGATATAATATTTCAGTTCAAGCACTTATTTCATATGGCACTAGTGCACCTGCTCCACTTGAAAATTGTTTTCAAGTGCGGTTTTATACTTTCAATTTTCACGTTATTTTCGAACTTATAGATCCTGAAACGCCATTGAAATGGTTTCAATATACGAGGTGTAAGGCAGAATCACATTTGTAATTTCTATACGTAGATATTCTTGAAGTTGGCTATAAAAAGCTTTCTATACAATAATCACACGTAGTCATTTATATTCTCATAATTAGATAATGATCGATTGTGTGAAAATAATTATGACGAGGTAAAGAAATATTGTCTTACGACCTTGAATATTACCTAATGATTGTAGCCAATTATAATAATTTAAGCACGATAGACACAAGCAGAAAGTACGTTATTTAAAATTTTATTATCTCTTAACAGATTATTAAGTCTCTATATTGTAATTAACTTCAAACACTCAAAGAAAATAACGAAACCTTTCCCGTTCCCCAGTTTGAGAAGTCTGTAGAAAAAAGGGTTTGTCTTCGATTTTAAAAAAAATATTATCGTGATAGAATAGCGTATCTTTAAACCTTTAAATAAACTTATCAACAGTAGTAAAACTCATAATATCCTAGTCATAATCTGTTAAGCTTTAATATATAAAAAAGATGGGTTGTATCTTGTAAGGAAAAGTATTAAAATTACACGTGCATCTTACCAGTCGGGAATATCCGTGAAATATTCAGGATAACTGTAGGAGATACCAACGTTATTGACTAGGGTTCCTATTTCTAGATCAGCTATTTCTTTGGAGATCTTGTCGTAAATTCCCTCTTCGCTGAAGTCAGCTTGAACTATTTTGGTATTCACTTTGTAGTCGTTTTCTGTAAAGAAAGTAATTGCTTATCGAGCTGGTTAATGCGGTGGTTTGATCTTACAAACAATTAATTACCGATGGCTAAAAATTCAACAAATAAAGCCAATTATACTTTACGTAAGTTTCGCTGGTGATACAGCAAGTATTTTAGCTTTAATAACTTAGTAAAAATTAAATAATAAGTGCTACCGCGACCGCAAAAAAATACATGCAGGACTGTTGCATGTTGTTGTTAATTTGTATGAGGCACCTGCAGGGCGATTTATTATTTAGAAAATCGTGTAGGATTCTTTATTGAATGACTCATTCATTACTTTAATAAAACATTATTACAATATAATCTATCAAAAATAGTGTAGCTAGGGAATTCAATTCCGATCTTGCGAGATCTCGTGCCATTTTTCGAGGTCAATTTCGAAGCGTAACATGGCGCGATCTCGTAGGATTAACGAGATAACGAAAAGTTGGTCTTCTCGATGAATAAGTATATCTCAAAGCGCTGAATAAATTTAGCCGCAGCGTTGTTATATTTGAAAAATTCTTGTTATTATAAAGATGACTTAGAACAGTTGAAAGGCGACGAAATTTTCCATTTGCCTAGCAAATGCCGGAAAGAAATTAAAAATATAATCAAAACATTATATCGTCAGGTACCCTTTTGAACTCCCCACTGCTGGTAATGAAATTAACACCGCGACAGAAAACTAAGGTGAAATAATGATGATTGCAGAGGAATTGAATTTACACCACTCTCTAAGAGGAGTTAGAAGAGACTGAGAGCAGCTTAAAGTCTTTCACGTGTCTCTACAAGATTAAATAGATTAGAGTCACTCAAACCAAAAGAGATCAATCTATATTAGGGGAGCAAGGGGTAGTTTTTTATATATTGCTTATAATAGTTTACGCTTACTACACTGGTGCTAACCAGTGTTGAGTTTGAGAGGGCATTTTCACGAGATTATAATTCTTAATTCTACGAGATCTCGAATTACCTATTTCGACTCGAGATTGCATTCCCTAAGTGTAGCGCATGACGGCTGAACTAGTTATTGAGCAAAGAAATCGCCCTTTTTAATTATTACTCCGAAATTTACACATATCTTCTATGCTTTGTTTGTTTGGGCCATTATTTTAAAAGGTTCTATGATAACAATAAAAAGTGTCTAAATAAGTATTACTCACGTATTTCCGTAGCAGTCGCTTTCAATTTATCCATAGAACGACTGACTAGAACTATATCACAGCCGCGGGCAGCCAACTGTGAATGATAAAATATTATAGAAAATTTAAAAATGCTCACGAGAGAATCTATTAAAATTTCATACTCAGTCAGCAGTTTTTAAAGAACATGCGGTATTTTACTCCTAGTAAAATATTAAAGGATCAAGAAAGATATCTTTCAATCAATCGGGAAAACACTGCTATTAAAGAAAATAGGAAGCTAATACCGTGCACGAGAACCAACTTAAATATGTTCTATTCATACGTGAGAAGTTTTGGTCAGACAGGCACAGACAGACGCCTCACTCGAATCATCTAGTTAGAAATACAAATGATCACGAAACAGATACAGATATCTAAGTCCTAGGTATACGCCACTGGTCGAAACACTTTAGATAGTCTTAATTATAAGTATAGATATCAATATTAATAAAGTACTTTTGTGTAATTATCTATTTTATAGTAATAACCTGGAGTTAAAGTAACAAATTTGTTATGACAAAATACCAAATTAATTCTGACGACATAAGCGATCCGGATTTATTAGGTACCATTTATTTTAAGTAGATTATTAGTTCGAAGCAGAGAATATTTTCGCTCGCTTTCACTAATCTTTTAGGTCAATTAAAAATACCAATAGATATTTTATAATTCGTACGTATTTAATTTAATTGGGAAAATTTAAATGATAACTAATATATATACATTTACATATACATTTCTACATATATACATGGGTATAATAGATAGACAAACTTTATAGGGATAGAAGGAAGTTGGATATTTGTAAAAAAGGATATTACTAGTAATTAGTGGAAAATATCTTAGTAAAATGTTAAAACGTTGATTAACGTTTTAAGTTAAAATTAGCATTTTGTATAAATTACCTCTTTAGCGTATTCCTTTCCAATGCCATCAGTGCTTCCGGTTACCACTAAAACAAAGAAATATAATATTACAAATTTTACCATTACAACAGACCCGCCCGTGTATAACATCGATTCGCAATTGTTTTCGTACAATAACTTCAATTTTGATTAGTTTTTTGAAACTGTGAAATTGTTAAGAATTTAAAAAAGGTTTATGTTAAATATAATTGAATTAGTAATGTCAGACAACTTTAAGATTCTTTTAAAAACCACGTATAAGTTTAACCCTAACAAGACTTTGCTAGAATATTTAATGCAAAAGAAAGTTAAAACACTTAAATATTTACTTCAATTAGCGATCTAATGTGAAATAGCAACTACGTCTTAGCATATTAATATGAAAACTTCGGTTTTAACTTGAAGTTCGCGTCATTAATCAATTATGCTGTCTGTCGTTTGTTTATTTATACTTCGTTGCAAAAAATGCGCTACAATTAAAATAATTAAATGAAAAGGAGACCAACTAGCGGCCTTAAAGCTTTCGAGCTATATCTTCCAGGCAACCACTGTGAGGAAAAAATTAATTAAATAATGTGAGCGCAAGAAATTAAAAACTAAATAATATGTACAATTACTAAAGACATAAATAATGGATCAAACAAAGCAATTAAAACATATGTACACAAGGACTATAAAAAAAGGACACATGAATCGCAATTTTTAATAATGTAATTATATTTTAATTGATATGTTTCATGTTTGTTTTAAGAATATTAATATTATATTTCTAATGAAGTCGAAGAGAACAAGAAAGGGGCACCCAGATTTCTGTAAACGAACATACAGAAATCCTTGTTTTCATTGTAGTCGAGTGCTATTTACCTATTTTAATCAAGCTGAAGACCGGATTTTTTGCCATTCCAATTTCCAAGCGCTGGTTTCACGAATATATAATATGATTCTTATCGTATTATGACGTATTAATTGCGCACATAGAAAAATGCATTCATGCTCAGCCAGGTTTCGAAGGCACGACCCCAAGGTCTTTGCATGTAGGCTGAACAACGAAAAATAACACGTCAAATCAAGGTATTTTAAGTTACATGTTTAACGTCCATGCCTCGCATGAGAAAGCTGGGTGTATTGCTCTCATGATACTCTGATCGCGTCGGCCATCCGTCAGGAGTATGAGTTATGAAATAGAAATATAACAAGCTTATATTAACCATGGCCGTATGAGCCAGCCGAAGATTAATACATTGTATGTTCTCGATAAGTTTTGTTTGTTCGCTCATAAATTCATGTTTGATTGTAATGATTTTTGTATTCATTTTCATTTATTGGTTCGTATCGGTATCCGTAAGGTATCGTGTTCTTATATGTAGATGCTAGACGCATTAAAATACCAAATTTTTCTTACATCCATTTCATATGTGTAACATAGCATAACATAAAGAAATGCAGACCATGCATCTACATAACTATAAATGCTGATTAATTTACAGAAGCTAAATAAGCTAACATAAACAAAACGTTTAAACCAGGTTGTTTGCATAATTCGTAATTGATAATACACGTGGATTGAGCTACGAATGCACTAATCCATGCATGCATTATTATGCAGCTTGTTTGGAGTATAATTTGTACTGAAATCGAACATAGTAGTAAGTTTTCTTTGGTAGTATTTATATAGATGTCAAATAAAATAAATATGTTTTTCAATATTATAAGGCGAAAGAGTTTCGTTGAAAGCCCTCTAAATACTGGTTTGAATTGAAAATTTTTGGGTGTAATAATCCATTAAGCGTATCACGCTACGACTGAATTAACACGGAATAAGACGAAGTTGGAGCTATCTTTTTGACAGAATCGTCTTTCTATCACAAGTTCAATACAAATATGTTGTAGACTCACAAAGATTTCCACCACACTAAATGTATTCAGAAACAAAACCTAACCCTTAGTTTGACTCCAAATTGTATTGGATCTTACACTAACACTGTTCAAACCCTTATTATAAAACATCATAATCAAAATTACATTGATGTACATGTACTCGTCGACTAAAACAAAATCTAATAAATTTATATTTATTTATTTACACTTCGTTACCATAATATACAAAATCATACATTATAACAAAAATAAATTGTTTTTTTATCCCATAATATGTTTTTTTTATTAACGTCAACCGGTTATTTGTAAGGTTAAGATTACTGAGCCTTGACTGCAACTTTCAATATCGTCAGCGATACAGATTCCAACGTGTTTGTGTGTAGTTATTTACTTATGTCACAACCTTGGAATCGCGTACAAAAGTTCCTTATTGGGACGGTAGTTGCCGGTACAGTTACAGAGTAAGGCCTTGATATCAATATAAACAATGAAACATTTACCAAAAATATGCATTTATGGATAGCACAAAAAGCCGGTTTCTTTTAAAGGTGCTTAAGTGAAAGTCATGGTTGCGCTAGCATACATCGATCTAGTTACAAAAATGAGTTCTATTTTTATAACAATAAGGTGCAAAAAGATACGTATTTTGCTAAATTTTCCCGGTCATCATGTTTAATGTGACGTGTTAAGCTGGTTTCGACCACGTGTAATTCGAATAATTCCTGTTTATATATGTTGTGTATTATTTTAGCGATGAATACAATTCATAAAATCTTACAAGTGAATTTAATTTTTGTATTCAAATATATCTTAATATTATGTGCGTGTGTTGTTAAACTCCTCCTAAACGGCTGGACCGATTTTGATGAAATTTGCGTGTTCAAATGAACTAATTATTTAGATTTACAATTAGATATTTTTTTAATTGGTATATTAATTTTCAAATATTCCTATTAAGATGTGTATACAGGACAACGTCTGTAGATTGCTTGTATTTCTATACAAATATGACATATAGGATGTCCACCTATTCTTGATTTCCGAGCTTAGTATATAAATTTTTAGTACCACTTCGCGTATAATAAACTGCTAGAGAAACGCAATATTAACGATAACGATAGCCAAACACTCACAAACACAGTCAACATACTTTAACTTTCTACCAGATTTAGCATTACATATTTCATTATATCAATGGAAGCGGGAGTGGGAAGGAAACCTTTATTTACGAACTATTTTTACGAATAACTATTCATAGCTATAATACAAAAATATCACTTATTTCATCTGCTTTAGAGGAAATAGAATTATTCTCCGCACACGTTCACGTGGGCTGTGCATTCACGGAACATTACATAATATTGCTTTTACCTCGAGATATCATTGCATTCCGTTTATGAGATGAAATGTAAATAGGAAATACTTTTATCTTAATATATTTCTTAAGCCATAAGTTATGATCGAGATTTTAACTCGGTTTTCAAGTGGGTAAATACGTATGTAATTGCGTATTTCTTAGTAAAACATGTTTCTTCTAACATAATAATGATTATGATAATGATGTCTTTACATATGAAATTGGTGTTTTGTATGTTCAAAATCCTTCATTAATTAATCCTTCGAGTTTCTGCAGCACTGGTGCTACGGTGGAACTCATAATCGTAAATAACGCAATATTTCATGTTTTCTATAGTAGTGATGTAAAGAAAAAAATAAAATAAATCATGGTTTTCGAATAAAAATGCACGAGTAAATAGATGTAACACAATTTATTTGGAATTCCTAACCAAAGAGGTGATATTTGAGGTCAAAGTGTGTACGACAAAACGTCAATTTCATATGTAAGGTCCTTATATAATTTGACCTAAATATTCTGGAAACAATTATTCAATTTCTTAATATAAACTATAGATTCATTAAGGCCTCAAGAATTGGCAATTGTTTGGCTCCAAATAAAAAATGTTAGCCAACAACGAGCGATACTTCGAGTGAAACTTTTAATCGATACCGATTCACCCAGTTTAAAACACTTCCGAATCCCGCTTAACGCTTTTCGCCAAGCTCAAAAAGTATTAAAACGGCATTAAAAAAACTCAATTTTAAGATAAAATCTTAAATATTAAAATGCAATAAGTAATTAAATGTTCTAAATTTCTCCAGCGAGCCGTGTTACGGGGCTTTGTAATTTAGTGGAATTTTAATAGGGCTCTCCAGAAGCGAAATTGTATTAGATAAATTAACATTAATAAAGTTTAAAACTGTCTACCCTCTGTTCAGGGAACCGTTGAGAGTAAATCCTTGGACATAAAAGTGGTTTAATTTAGAAATATCCCTTAAATAATATTGATTTCTAAGACTCTACAGTCTTTACTACTATTTTAATGGTAGAATCAAACTGAGTTTAATAATATTATTCTTATAGTGTAGTAGAGTTACCCAGTAAATTAATCTATATACATATATGTATATGTATATAAAAATGAAACCCGTTTTCCGTTGTCACGACATAACATGAAAACGGCTAGACCGATTTGTCTGATTTTTTTTTGTTGTGTTTGTAATTGTCAGGAGAAGGTTCTTATAAAAGAAAAAAAGAAAAAAATTGCGCGGAAAATTAGAAAATTTAAGAATACTTAACCACCATACAATTCGAACTTTTTGATGTAACCTTATGGCGTTTGACATAACATTGACACAATGCGTGCTGCAAATATCGTCAAAGAGGATGTAAGAAAAATGAAAATCGTTTAAAATAAATGCTTCGATCGGAGTTATTATATTGATAATATAATAATATGCGAGCCAGAAAAACAAACAAAGAATGTTGTATAACATAAAGCATTAGAATAATAAACACTTTGTTTCTGAAAAAATTTTTAATTAATTATACCAATTTGAAATCAATATTCATAGTTAAGACAGGACAACATCTGTCGGGTCCGTTTTACTAAATACAAGAATATAACATTATTTAATCATAACAGAATACAATTAGTAGCCTTATAATTAATAGTATCTAAAGCTACATCAAAGTATGTATATATCGTTGTTCCTTGGGAAAACAGCAAAGGTGTGAACCTCTTTGCCCCCATCAAGTTTCCTAAAGAATATACATAGAATCATTGAAACGACAGTTAAACAGACATCGCCTGGAGAGGCGTGCCCTCCGTATCACACTTAACATCAGTTGGGATTGTGTCCAATCG